TTCTCCACCGGTAAGCCTAGAACTGATCTAGAACACCCACATCTACAGTAAAACACCACAGGAGACTGGAGTAGACTGACTGTGTGCTGTTAATAGTGCTAACAGACTGCATGTTGTTAAAAACGCTAATGGTACTGTAATAGGAAGTGTGCGTGTGAACGCTTGTGTGAGAGAGTGCAGTTATTTTGGGTGTGTACGGTTCAGCTGGATCAGCTGGTTTTCACTTCTGCGTGTTATTAAAGAGCCCATATCCCACATTTTTCTTGTATTTTTTTCACAGAGGTTTATTTATGACATTCGTTTGGTTTTATGTACCAAATAAAGTCATTTATTTCTGTATGGGCCTTTTCCCAACCTCTCTGTTTCCCTAAGAATTAAATACATTTTTGTTACTGTGCCTTTAAGACTAATATAAATGTAAATGAGCTATGTTCTGATTGGCTGTCCTGTATTGCACCTCGTTCAAAAAGCAGTTCAAGCTGAAACTCCTTATAACATTGAGGCGGATGGATGGGGCTAGTCTGATGGCTGAGTAGGCAGACATATGTAAATGTGTTGGGGTTTTTGTGACATCACAAAAACAATGAATCAAAATGCTGCTTTAGTTTCTATGTGCTTCTATATGTACATAAAACATTTGGTTATTCATTGTGTCAGTGCTTTAAGCTACTCAGAACAGCTGATTCAAGCCCCAGAAGGTTTGCACAAACAGATGGCTTGTCTGCACATGCAAAATATTGTGGTGGCTGCCACTTGCTCCGGTTCACAGACATGGCTCTAGAAGCATTTTTTGAAGAGCTGCAACATCGGTCTCTCTCTCTCTCTTTTCTGGTGTAAATAAAGAGCTCCGCTCATAGCAGAAATCATGTCCTCTTCCGTGTCTCCTTCTTCGCCACAGATGCTACATTGGTGTCAGAAGTGGGATAGTGCCCCGCTGTAGTAAGGAGTGTAACGGTGTCCTGAAGAACTTCGAGGTGGACAGCGAAGACAGCACAATGAAACTAGATGGTGCGGTGAGGCTCGACGGCAGAAAAACTAGTGAGAGAGAAGCTGCAGAAGTGGCAGTACAGTGTTACACAATAGAGAAGCATGTGTGCCTTCCAGTCCTGGGATAGTGGCCGGAGGCATCTAGCTAGACTATGGCAGAGCATAGCTCAGCCTTTTTAGTATGGAAGCACCGTGGTGAGCAGCAAGGCGTCGTGCGGCAAAGGAGTGTGCATGCTGGCTGGGAGGACAGCATGGATGGCAGACGGCTCATCATGTTCATCAATACGGGCTTATCAATATCTCTACTATGACCAGGCGTGCTCACACTCACCAAGAGAGGAGCATCACATGTCTGGAAGGAGACCAGCGGCTCAGCCGTGGCAGAGAGTCGCAGATCCAGCGTGCATTTGGTGGCTGCCACACCTGAAGGGGCTCTAGAGGCTTGGTGTGCAGGGCTACACTTTATGGGGAGTTTCAAAGACAACAGAGTTGGTTTTTGATGTTGTAAATGTTGTTGTTCTTTAGTTTAAGTGTGGCGTTTGTGGCCAAATCTACTTTAAGTTTTGTAGACTGTGTAAATATTTAAAGTTTTTCTTAATATGTGCATGTTTACATCTATCTATCTATCTATCTATCTATCTATCTATCTATCTATCTATCTATCTATCTATTTGTCTTTCTGTCTGTCCATCTATCCATTTATCCATCCATCCGTCCATCTATCTGTTGACCTGTCTTTCTGTCTGTCCATCCGTTCATCTATGCTGGTATGAAATTCTGTTCCACGTGTGCAGCTCCTGCTTTGACTTTAAAGATCTTTGTTTATCATTCTGCAGTGAGTCAAACACAGAACAGTCACTGTACAGAGCTTTCTGCGTGTGTGTGTGTGTGTGTGTATGTGTATGTGTGGACTGGGTTTATGCCACATCGTGGGAACCAAAACCCATTTATACACTCATGTTGTAGAGACATCTCTTTCTTGTGGGAACCAATAAATGGTTCCCACAGCGTAAACCATTAAATTTTAAGGTGAGGGTAATGTTAAAGTTAAGGTTAAGGTTAGGCTAGTAGTAGTTCTGATTAAGCTTCAGGTAAGTCTTCAGGAAATGAATGGATGTCTATGTAAAGGCCCCACAATTCACAGAAACAAGGCTGTGTGTGTGTGTATGTTTCTGTCCTGTGGTTAGTTGCGTCTGTGTGAGTGCGATCAGAGCGGCGGAGGTGTGAGAGGACAGACTGTAGATCTGTTTGGCTGGCTCGGCGGAGCTCTCAGCAGCAGATGGCTAAAGATGGTTAAACATGCACTCTCGGGTGTAACAGGGTTTGCACAGAAGGTGACGCTGCAGCGTCAAGGACGCAGTAAAAAATCATACTAATCAGGAAGAAATCGATTGAAAAATTGGACCTAGTGTGTGAGTCTGGGAAATGAAAAGCACAGACAGGCTGCAGCTGATTGACCACTGTGCAGCAATGAATTTATTGGCTAATGATTTTTTTTCTTTTTCATCTACAGGAATATCCAGAACATAACAGATCATCATGGCAGGTAACACAGTATTATTTTTATTCATTTTTGTTTTGTTTTTTATAACAAGCCTGTATATTACCTACTGCATGTTACTCAATTACAGTTATAGTTTCATATAATGGAAATGTGGTCAAATGTGACACTGATTTAGTGTCCAGCTGACCTCAGCTTAGGCCTATTTCAGGCAAGATATCTCGGTGGGAAAGCAGAACATAGTAGGGTGACTTTTAGAGAAGCTTTAAGTTTGTATAGCTGATTGCTAGTAGCTTCTAAGTCAGTAGAACAGCTGTAACCTCCACAGCACAGCAGCATTTCATTCTGTGTTCTCTGGCGACCTCATGTGGCTGAAGTCTGTATTACAACAACAGGAATCTGAACCTCCGTCAGGTTCCTCTGCAGCTGATCACATTGCAGGTTTTGGACCATTTTGACAATTAGATAAGATAATTTGATTAAGTAATTACACATTTATAACTGTACCACATCTTGTATTTATTTCCGAGAGCAATATAATCCAGAAATACTAAGTTAACTGTTAAAGTTGTATATGGTTTGAAATGTAAATGTAAAGATTATTGTTCTGCATACAAACTCTAGCTAGTTTTTCATCTCCTCAAACAGATTTTAAATGCACACAGACTTTTATTTTAGAAAATAAACTAAGGCAAATATTACAAACAGCTGAGACAAAAATAGTGACGAGGCCTGATATAAAATGATTTTATAGAAAATATTGTTGCTGACTGTGCTAGATTAAAATCATTTACTAAACTAATTAACACAGTATAACTAAAGACACGAAGGAAGGAAAAATCAGTAAATTGGACTCTGAGTGGAAAATGAGTGACGATCAGTAAAATTTTGTCTAACACTCTGCTTCAACACTAGTGGGCCGCCCAGAAAACGCTGAGCAAAACACCTGTGGAACACTATCCTCTTGCTATCAGGGGAAATGCTCGTCTAACCTTCACGCCAGCTTTCTCTTTTATACTGAGACCAAATTAATTCATTTTGATTTATATATAAGGTTGTATGCAAAAGTTTGGGCACCCCTGGTCAAACTCTGTGTTGTTGTTGATTTTATAAGTAAGTAAGTGAACACATCCTCTACAGAGACATACCTGCACATTTTGATGCATGATTGCTGTTTATTTGCTGAATGTAAGACACTGAGGGGAAAAAGACACATAAAATAACATGAAATAAAATATAAAATGTGGCCTCTGCAATGACAAAATATATCGCTGTTGACGGTACTAAACCTCGTATCTCCAAAATGGTAAATTTACAGGAGAAGGAAAAAATCTTCTTTAATTTTAATGCAAGTCAATGGAACCAGACCTTTTTCCAAGTCATTCTGGGCTGTTTTGTTTTGGTCCATTCATCATGAAATTTCCGCACAATGTAAAGGACAACAGACATTTTCAAATTATGCTAAAAACTGAAAAATGACAAAAACGGAGATACGAGGTTTCTTCCGACAGCAGCGATTTATTGTATGTTCTATTTTTTTCCCCAAGATGTTAAACTCAATAAATAGATGTAAACTGTGCACTACAATTTGTAGCAAAATGCCACGTTAAAGTGTGCATTATTTGACCAGGGGTGTTCAAACTTTTGCATATTGCTGTGTGTGTATATATATATATATATATATATACACTTAGTGTTCATAGTAACATTATCCTATTTACTTTTATATAATTGTATGCTATTTTGTACTATTTCTTGATACTGATTCAGCAGTATTAGCCTATATGTCAGCAACAAAATCATTCTGCTTTTTCTGAGCTGTACTTTAGGTCATTATTTTAATTTTAATTGCAACTTTTTCCAGAAAAAGAAATCAAGTTGATTTGAAGGAGTATTTTTTTTTCATTTAAGGAAATAATAAAGGACAGTACATAATCCTTGACTGAAACTCTCTTCAATTACAATTTAAAAAGCCCAAACAAATTTAAAACTGCAGTGTCAAAATAAAAATGATTAAAAACAGTGTGCAAACTCACCTTTTGCCCAAACGTGGAATCAAACCCCAGACTCAAACATGCGGGGCAGAGGTGTTATTCACTACCCAACAGTATCCATCGCTCTACTGACCGAGATAAGACTGCTTAACCTTTAGCAACTGCTACTGTTTGACTGATGTTTTACATGTGATATTTACTAATAGTGAATGGAAAACTGCACTTATTTTCTAGTTAGTGTTACTCTATATAACAACAATCCCTTCTCCCAATTTTTGTTCATGGAAAATGTAAAATGGTGTCAGTAATAAGCAATTTGATGTGCTTTAGTCATATGATTTACTAGCAAATAGCTTGCAAATAGCCAGGCTGCGTAGGAAATGCTATTTTCACACAGTGTTAAAAGACACTGCCATAAATGAATTGTACATAATACATTTGCATTTAAAATAAATTGTCTAAAAAACTAACAAAAGAAGTAAGTCAGCATTATAAATAAATTAATAAACAAAAAGACCTTCACATTCAAGTGTTCTGTTTATTGTGATTTAGTTAGTAACCGCTGCCACGGCAACGTTTCACACGTCCACAAAGTTGGAAGCAGAAGTTGTTTAAAAGGCTGCTGCTGTTTTGAGGGTCTGAAATGGGGCTGGGCTGCTCATCAGCGGTACGGAGACGCTCCACGCGGCCGGACGGTAAACAGAGAGCGTCACCGACATCAGGATACACCAGCACACAGCTCTGTAGCTTAAAACTGAAGGAATGGATGGGGCTTTGTTAAGTGAGGGGAATGTATAGAGGAATAAACAGGAATGGGAGAGGATTAGCTGAGGCTGGAGTGGGTTTGGAGTCTAGATCACACACTGGCTTATAACGTTAAGCTGCTACTGACTTTCTTTGCTCTCTTTTTCAGAAAAAATTAAGGACGCCAAGATCATCTTTGTTGTGGGTGAGTTTATTTAAGCTACAGCAGCTCTGATTATTGTTGTCAGCCTGTAGGAGGAGCTCCACCGGTTTGGCTGCTTTTGTATTCATCATGTTACACTAGTGGAGTTAGACCTGATCAGATTCAGCCTAATAACAGGCTTAAATCCAAACTCATGCGAGCAATTGTGTTTTAGCTCAGCTTATATCCTGCGTAGAACACATGCCTCAATATCATGAAGTACATTGCTCGTAAAGTGTTTAGATGTGTCCTGATGTTAAAGGGTCCATATCCTACTTTTTTGTGCTTTATTTTCTCCCCTGAGCTCCATTTCTAAAGTTTGTAAGTCATTTCTATCTGTTTTCCAGCTTCTCTTTATCCTATTAATTATAATTTATCTTGATTAATTTAAACAGAGATAGTTATTATGATTAATTTATACAGGGATAGTTATAATTAATATAATTGTCGTATTGTAATATCATTAAATAATTATATAAGATATTATGTTATTATATTATTATTATATAATTATATTATTGTTGGGCAGTGGCAGTACTGTATGGTTAACATGGAGGTCTACTTATTTACTGTCTTTACCGGACTCCTTATATTGCAATATATGCATTTTACATTCATGACTTAGTACAGTAGATTAATAATGTAAACTCCTGGGCAAAAAAATGGGTCAAGCCCAAAATATAATGGTTTTTACTCCAGATTTAAACCCTAGAATATGTGGTCTCACACTAAAAGGAGCACAAACTAGCTCGGCAGTGTTTTCCCACTGTTCAAAGCCATCAATGCTGAGTGAACTCTTACTTTTGTAAGAAGTTGTATGCAGGTTTACACAAAAAAACTTTAATATTTAAAGAAATCAAAAAGAAAAGCTCACTTTTATTAAGTTACTTTATCTATTTGTTTGATGATTTGCTGTTAAGACCATTAAAAGATTAATGTTTTTAGTATTCTTCATACCAGAAGCTCATGGGATCCTAGTCCTGCCACAGTTCACCCACAAACGCAAGCTTGCCTATATAATATCACTTACTTGGCCCATTATTATTGACATATACTGTTATTTGTGGTGCTGGTGCTGATGACCTTATATGATCGAAAATAGTTCACTTCATTCCCCTCTAAAACAAACCTGTCCTCCCTGTCCTCCTCAGGTGGGCCCGGCTCTGGTAAGGGTACCCAGTGTGAGAAGGTTGTGGCCAAATATGGCTACACTCACCTGTCCTCAGGTGACCTGCTCCGTGCTGAGGTGGCCTCTGGCTCCGAGAGGGGGAAGCAGCTCCAGGCTATCATGCAGAAGGGCGAGCTGGTGCCTCTGGTGAGAAACGTTCACTGTTCTTTCCTTTTGTATCTCCAAGAAGTCTCAGAGAATTCCTTTGTTTACCCCTTTTCTCCTATATAAAACCAATACAAACATACTTCTTTTTTGCAAATATAAGCCATATCGCCCCCTATACTTCCTGTAGTGTATTACAGTCTGTCAGAATGACTGTGTGGATCATATGAACATTATAGAGCTTTTTAAATGAAACAATAGAAGCCATATCGCCCCCTACACTTCCTGTAGTGTATTACAGTCTGTCAGAATGACTGTGTGGATCATATGAACATTATAGAGCACGTTTTAAATGAAACAATAGAAGCCATATCGCCCCCTACACTTCCTGTAGTGTATTACAGTCTGTCAGAGTGATTGTGTGGATCATATGAACATTATAGAGCGCTTTTTAAATGAAACAATAGAAGCCATATCGCCCCCTACACTTCCTGTAGTGTATTACAGTCTGTCAGAGTGACTGTGTGGATCATTGAACATTATAGAGCACTTTTTTAAATGAAACAATAGAGCATGACAGAATGCGTCTCTTCCTACAGGACACTGTACTGGACATGATCAAGGATGCCATGATCGCCAAGGCCGACGTCTCCAAGGGCTTCCTCATCGACGGCTACCCCCGCGAGGTCAAACAGGGAGAGGAGTTTGAGAAGAAGGTGAGAGAGCAGCAATTCCACCAAGACAAATAGTGGACAGTGTGACAGTACACCGATCAGGCATAACATTATGACCACCTCCTTGTTTCTATGCTCATTGTCCATTTTATCAGCTCCACTTACTATAAAGGTGCACTTTGTAGTTTTACAGTTACAGACTGTAGTCCATCTGTTTCTCTGCATACTTTGTTAGCCCCCTTTTAACCTGTTCTTCAGTGGTCAGGACCCCCATGGACCCTCACAGAGCAGGTACTGTTTGAGTGGTGGGTCATTCTCAGCACTGCAGTAACACTGACATGGTGGTGGTGGTGTGTTAGTGTGTGTTGTGCTGGTACGAGTGGATCAGACACAGCAGAGCTGCTGGAGTTTTCACACACTATGTCCACTCACTGTCCACTCTATTAGACGCGTCTGTGTTGTTGGTCCACCCTGTAGATGTAAAGTCAGAGACGATAACTCATCTGCTGCTGCACAGTTTGTGTTGGTCATCCTCTAGCCCTTCATCAGTGGTCACATGACGCTGCCCACAGGACGCTGTTGGCTGGATATTTTTGGTTGGTGGACTATTCTCAGTCCAGCAGTGACACTGAGGTGTTTAAAAACTCTATCAGCACTGCTGTGTCTGATCCACTCATACCAGCGCAACACACACTAACACACCACCACCACATCAGTGTTACTGCAGTAAAGAGAATGAACCACCACCCAAATAGTACCTGCTCTGTGAGGGTCCATGGGGGTCCTGACCACTGAAGAACAGGGTAAAAGGGGGCTAACAAAGTATGCAGAGAAACAGATGGACTACAGTCTGTAACTGTAGAACTACAAAGTGCACCTATATAGTAAGTGGAGCTGATAAAATGGACAATGAGCGTAGAAACAAGGAGGTGGTCACAATGTTATGCCTGATCGGTGTATGTTATCATTATAGTGCTAAACCACATTATAATGTCCTTGTTGAAAACATTGATATACATAAAACACACATGAAACATTGAATAAAAGTCATTGTGCTGATTTGACTGTTTTTCATAGTATAACTATGCCATCTATTCCCTGACCTGAGTGACCTGTTTGTGTTTAGATCGGTGCTCCCTGTCTGCTGCTGTACATCGACGCCAGGCCCGAGACCATGGTGTCGAGACTGTTGAAGCGCGGAGAGACCAGTGGCCGCTCCGACGACAACGAGGAGACCATCAAGAAGCGCCTGGACCTTTACTACAAAGCCACAGAGCCCGTCATCGCATTCTACGAGGGCCGCGGCATCGTCAGGAAGGTCAGCAAACAGCTACAAATTGCAGTCTGCTAGGCTCTTAAAGGGGAATTCCACCAAGTTTTAAAATTATCTGCATAATTCAGTGTTTGTGATGTAAACAGAGTCATTCAGAGAGTCATTTCAAGTGAAAAGGTTCATTGTAGTGGAACAGTGGTGGTGATAGGAATCAGGGGTCGTCATGACTACAACACAAATATAGCCATTTTATTTATGATCCAATAAATAAAATGGCTCAATTTTGTTAGACTATAAAAGTCTAAAGGATGTTAGACTATAAAAGTCTAAAGAAGGAAAAACTATGATAATTTGAATTAACTGAAATATCACTCTAAAATATTTTGGTTTTTAATGCAGAAAACAGTTAGTATTTACAGAGTAGGACTGTAAAACTGGCACCATGAATATTAACGTGTTGGTTCATGCATTAATGCGGATGCCTGTTTTCTCTTTCTTCTTTCAGATTAACTCTGAGCTTGCTGTGGATGACGTATTCACAGAAGTTTCTAAGGCTATTGATGCCCTCAAGTAAAGAGAACATGACTGGACGAACTTTTGTTTCGGTCTTTATTTCCATCTTAAACTCCCAAAAACAGCAAAATGCCGAACACAACGAAAACAACAACAGAAAATGTACTGCAGTCGTAAACGTCCTGACGGGGTTGCCTTAATTTAATATTTTACATGATTGTCACTGGAAACAGTATCATCGTTTTTACGTCTACAACCTTTTTACATTCAAGGCACTTGGCTGCAGTGTCTACCTCTCATCATCTCTTACATCTTGTGTAGTTTGGTTTTGCCCCAACAGGTTGTTTTGTATGACCCCACATCGTTCCACCCTTTCATTAAAACCTTTTCCCCAAGAGTGAACATCTTTCCTGATCATCAAGGTACAATTCAGTTAACTATGCTAACATTGCTAGCAATGAATGAAAACAAATATTCATCCATTAGCATCATGCAAATGACTTCATGTTAACTAGTGGCTACCAGTTTTCAGTTTTTGCCAACAATTAACATTATGCAAATGTCATCATGCCAACAAGTGGCTACCAGTTTTTATTCATTGTTAGTCGCTTTACTATCGTGCCATCGATGAGCATCATGCAAGTGATTCACTTTAAGTAGTCAGCAGTTTTCATTCATTGTTAACAATTAGCATCATGCCACCAGTGAGTATCATGCTAGCAGTTAGCATCATGAAAATGGCATCATGCTAACTAGTGGCTACCAGCTTTTATCCATTGTTTGTCACATTAATATCATGCCACCAATTAGCATCATTCCAGCAGTTAGCATCATGCAAATGACTTCACTTTAAGTAGTGGCTAGCAGTTTTTTAATTCATTGTCAGCAATTAGTATCACGCCACCTATTAGCATCAAAGCAGCAGTTAGCATCATGCAAATGACTAGTAACTAGGGCTACCAGTTTTCATTTATTGTTAGCCACATTAGCATGCTGGATTTAGCTATTCCTTTAAGTGTATGAAGCTCAGAGATAGAACCTATATTATAGTCCATAATCTCAAAAATAATTCACTTTAATATAAAGTGTGGAACTGGATATCTTCACCTACATGAGTGTTGTTTATCTGAGCAAAAGCAATTAGCAAGTCAGAAATGCTCATGTTGCTAACAGCAAATAAACAGTGAACAGCCATCAACCTAGTTGGCAGTGTTAGCTTATTTTTAGCTACACATTACTCTTAACTACTCTGCACTAGAAAAACCCATTTATAATGAGTTCTTTGCGGGTCTAAATGAAAATATAAGGAGTTAAAAGTGTGTATTTTTCTAATAGGAAATAGAAATAAACAGTTTTATGCAAAAGTTTGGGCACATCTGGCCAAATTCCATGTTTTTTGATTTTCTAAGTGTAAATAAGTTTCACATCCTCCACAGAGAACACACGTCTGCACATTTTAATGCACATTTGCTGCTTATTGGCTGGATTCAACATATTGCAAAAATAAATATAGCATGCAGTGTGGCCTGTGTGAAAGTTATGGCACTGTTTTCCACATTTTCTTTCTAGTATTGCTAAACTCAGCAAAAAAAAAACAAAAAAAAAACATATATTTCAGTAAAATTTGGAGAATAAATGCCATATTTAAGTATGTTCCCTGTAGAAGATGTGCTAAAGGAATTTTCAAATTCCAATGAATTTTCAAAATTCCAGCACAATTCAGTGTTTCATATGTAAGCAGAGTCATTCAGAGTGGTTTGATGGTGAAATGGTTGATTGTAGAGACTCTTCTAGAGATTGTAGAGAGACTTCTTTACAGTGGTGGTGATAGGAACCAGGGGTCACCATGACTGCAACACAAATATAGACATTTTATTCACTATCCAAAACCAGCAGTGAACCTAGATGTGTCTTCTGAGCTTTTATATGGAATGTTGAGGTTAAAAAGGTGGAAAATCTGAAAAAAATATGTTTTCTTTGGGGACTATTTTGCCTCACAACAGCCTGCATGTATCCCTCCACCACAAATAGATTTAAAAAAATCTGTTTTCAGTCAAAGCTTTCTCAAAACTACTGTAAAACAAAAAGAAAAAAATCTCTAGAACAGAGCACTTCACACCAAACCACTCCTTTTTTACATTTTATTTACACCTTACATTAATCTTACTGACTAGTCTATAATAAAGCTATGCTGGTTGACGGCCCCCTAGTGGCCAGAGCCCTTGCACATGTGTCCTGCAGGCCTGGTTGGCAATCCGTCCACTGCTCATATGTTTAAAAGGAAGTTCTTTGACCATAAACTCTTGTTTATTTGCGGTGATAAATGAGAACAAAAATCTCACAGAATAAACAGTGGAACTGAGCATTACTGCCCTCTAGTGGAAGGAAGGGTTCAAAGGCAGCAGGATGTGAGACAGGACGCCGGTGACGTTAAAAAAGCGTCAGAATGTTGAACATCAGTTACATTCCAGGTTATCAGACAAAACAATGTAGTCAGCGTTTCCTTTCTTTTCTGCTACCTCTGAGTGCTGTTTACCAGACAGATGGAACAGATGAAAAAGGAGCAAAATAAACATACCTCACATCAAAGTCACAGGTCATAAGTTCACCGAGTCCACTCGCCAGGCGATCAAACACGTCTAGTAGCTTCAACAGGAGCTTTTCAGCCCCCTCCAAAGGCCAGGATGCAACTGTTTACTACCGAGCTTCAAAAACACAGACAGAGAAACCAGACACGAATCAAAACAGACTTGGTGTTATTGGAAATGCTCTCTTCAAATCATCACACGTTTGCAGCTTTCCTGTGCCTGACGCCTCATGCAGGACGCTTCCTCCTGAGCCGAAAAACACTTTTCAACAGGTATCCGGATTATCCTCCAAGGAGCCGTGACCTGGACGGCTCTGACGAGGAAAAGGAAGAAGAGATCGTTCTTAGAAGCGGATCAGGATGCGTCCCTCGGAGCCTTGATTAGGAAGAGTCAGCCGAAAAGAACTCAGAGAGTCTAGCCGTGTCTAGCAGACCATTCCATTCCAAAGAAGAACCACCTTTGCTTCAATTAAGAACTTTTCAGTTCAGTTCTTTAAAGAGCCTCTCACTGAAAGGTTCTTCATGGATGGAGAACCCTTTAATGGACATCGCTCCAAGGAAACAAACTTAAATGTGGTATTTTTATGCACATATTTAGTGCACAGTTTGTAAAAAAATAAATAAATGAATAAAATATATTAAAATATACACCGATCAGGCATAACATGATGACCACCTCCTTGTTTCTATGCTCATTGTCCATTTTATCAGCTCTACTTACTGTATAGGTGCACTTTGTGGTTCTACAAATACAGACTGTAGTCCATCTGTTTCTCTGCATACTTTGTTAGCCCCCTCTTACCCTGTTCTTCAGTGGTCAGGACCCCCATGGACCCTCACAGAGCAGGTACTATTTGGATGGTGGATCATTCTCAGCACTGCAGTAACACTGACGTGGTGGTGGTGTGTTATTGTGTGTTGTGCTGGTCTGAGTGGATCAGGCACAGCAGTGCTGCTGGAGTTTTTTAAACACCTCAGTATCACTGCTGGACTGAGAATAGTCCACCAACCAAAAATATCCAGCCAACAGCGTCCTGTGGGCAGCGTCCTGTGACCACGGATGAAGGACTAGAGGATGACCAGCACAAACTGTGCAGCAGCAGATGAGTTATCGTCTCTGACTTTACATCTACAGGGTGGACCAACAACGCAGGTGTGTCTAATAGAGTGGACAGTGAGTGGACACAGTGTTTAAAAACTCCAGCAGCACTGCTGTGTCTGATCCACTCGCACCAGTGCAGCACACACTTACATACCACCACCACGTCAGTGTTACTGCAGTGCTGAGAATGATCCACCACCCAAATAGTACCTGCTCTGTGAGGGTCCATGGGGGTCCTGACCACTGAAGAACAGGGTAAAAGGGGGCTAACAAAGTATGCAGAGAAACAGATGGACTACAGTCTGTAATTGTAGAACTACAAAGTGCACCTATATAGAAAGTGGAGCTGATAAAATGGACAATGAGCGTAGAAACAAGGAGGTGGTTATAATGTTATGCCTGATCGGTGTAGAATGTGCCATAACTTTTGCACGACCACATTTTGTCTTTATTTTTTCCAATATGATAAATTAGGCAAATAAACCGTAATGGTGTATTCTGAAACGTTTTGATCTCTGTAGAGGACGTGTTAACTTCTTTACTCTTAGTAAATCACCAAAATCTGATTTTACCAGGGGTGCCAAAACTTTTGCACACGACCATATGTATATAGCACTGAAATTAGAGAAAGAGTGGAGTTGTCACGATTACACGATTCAACTCACTTTCTAGATAAACCATCAAAGCCATGTCATCGGGGAGATCACAAGTTCAGTCCTCAGTGTTGCCCCAGCCATCCGTAACCGGGAGATCATGAGAGCGTGATTCTCCTCTCTCTCTCTCTCTGGGTGGGCAGGATGCTGCTTCCTCTCCCGCGTCACTCAACATGATGCTAGACACGTCTGCTATCTTTTAGCTGATGTAACAGAATTAGCATTTAGCATTCTCCTTCAAGCGTGTTGACCTCCAGTAACGTTGTGTCAGCATCAGTTTTGCCAAAGAATTTATAGTGAGGGAAACCGCCACTCAGTAATGTCTATTGGGTTGGTCAGACACTAGAGGGCGCTCCAGAGTGGGTCCGAAATGAATGGATTCCTAGAGAACCTCTGAAGTCGTACATCAGTCTGTAGTAGCCATAGTAGGAGTGCAATGGCTAACCATGAATAGCATTTTCTAAATGCCCTACAAAACAGTTCTTATGCTTCGTCCTACATATATTTTCCCCTTGAGTATCACTGGATCCTCTGGATCACAAGGTCGTTTAGCAGTTAAAATGCTACATACATGTTACAAGCAGGCTAATGCTCCTTTGTGTTGCAGTGATGTTGCATGAAAGTTAGTTTTCAGTACTATTATATACCAACAGCCCTCCTAATTACTGAGTTCAGGTGTTTCAGCCAAGCCCATTGCTAACAGGTGTACAAAATCAAATAGACAGACTTATTATAGACAAACACTGGCAGTTGCAGGGGCACTCACAGAGCAGGGCCACTCACAGAGCAGGGTCACTCACAGAGCAGGGCCACTCACAGAGCAGGGTCACTCACAGAGCAGGGCCACTGAGTGCTGAAAAGCATTTCACATAAACTTCATCTATCTTCTGTTGCATCACTACAAAGTTGCAAACTGCTTCTGGAAGCAACATCAGCACAAGAGCTGTGTGTCGGGAGCTTCACGAAATGGGTTTCCATGGTTGAGCAGCTGCACACAAACCTAAGATCACTATGTGCCGTGCCAAGTGCCGGCTGGAGTGGTGTAAAGCATGCCGTCTTG